TTTTTGGGTTCAGGGTTTCCAGAAACCGTCATACAGACCTATCTATCTATATACATATATATATATACATACCGCAGTTGCAGATACGTTTGAGGGGGGCCGCTGGGACGTCGGCATTCGGTCTGCGAGGCTCTTGAGGAACCCCGCAGCAAGCATCAATTTTTTTGCACATTCTGCGACGGTCCCGCCGCAGGCGCCGATTTTTTTTGTTAAAAGGCAGTGTGGGTGGGTCGCGTGCCAGGTCGCGGGTGGGTCGCGGGTGGGTCGCAGGCGGGTCGCGGGGTGGGTCGCGGGGGTGGGTCGCGGCGTGGGTTGCGGGTGGGTCGCGGGTGGGTTGCGGGTGGGTCGCGGGTGGGTCGCGGGGTGGGTCGCGGGTGGGTCGCGGGGCGGGTCGCGGGGTGGGTCGCGAGTGGGTCGCAGCGTGGGTCGCAGCGTGGGTCGCGCGGGTGGGCGGCGGGTGGGTCGTGATCGGGTTGCGGGTGGGTCGCGGGCCGGGTCGCGGGTGGGAAAACGACGACAAACATCAAGCAGCAAGCAACATTCAACACACAACAATAGAACAACAACAACAACAACAACAACAGCAACAACAACAACAACACCACCAACAACAACAACAACAACAGCAACAGCAACAGCAACAGCAACAGCAACAACAACAACACCAACACCAGCACCAACAACAACAACATCAACAACAGCAACAGCAACAACATCAACAAGAACAACATCACCACCAACAACAGCAGCAGCAACAACAACAGCAACAACAACAACCACAAACCACAACCACAACCACAAAAATAACAGCACCAGCAACAACGACAACAACAACACTAAAAACAACCATAACGATCCGCACCGCGGAACCTCACTTCAGCCACGCGCCCAGGGACACACTCTGATATGTGACGCTATGTTTTCCCAGATGCTTACGTGTACAGCTGCTTTCATGCAATGTGTTTGAGCTGATCTGCTCGTGTCCTGGAGGGAACTATGTTCATATCCACCGCCCGCCGGGATCCCCGCGCGTCGATCCCTGTGGCGGTGGTCATGGATGAACTTTCGCCTCGCATCTCGCGGTCTCCTGCCAGGGAGCTGGACACCTTGATCTCCGATGACGTGTTGTTTGTTCAACCCTGGAGTTTTTCCTTCACTTCGGCTTCTGGTGTCCGTCATCAGGCCCTGGGGCAATCAACCGTTGACCCAGGACGAAGACATGTCCTTGGGGAAGGGATTGGGGCCTCGGGAAACGTACTCTGAAACTATCACATCTTCGGGTGCGTGGGTACACATGACGCGTCCAGCCTAGGCGAGAGCTGGATGTACATGTGGCTGCACGTCTTTCCGGCGCTCGGCCATTGTGTGGCAGGGTACGCCAGCCATCCTCCACATGCGCGTGCAACACGCGGCTTCCACACATGTTCCGCATACGAATCCAGTCGTGGTGTGTGCTTGAGTGCGTGTGCGTGTGTGCTTGAGTGCATGTGCATGTGTGCGTGTGTGCGTGTGTGCTTGAGTGCGTGTGTGTGTGTGTGGTGTGTGTGTGTGTGTGGGTTGTGTTTGTGTGTGTGTGCGTGTGCGTGTGCGTGTGCGTGTGCGTGTGCGTGTGCGTGTGTGCGTGTGCGTGTGTGCTTGAGGGCGTGTGCTTGTGTGCGTGTGCGTGCGTGCGTGTGTGCGTCTGTGTGTGTGTGCGTGTGTGTGCGTGTGTGCGGGTGTGATGCACCCTTCTGGCAGGATCTCCCGCGCGCTGCGCAGAGCCCCACCCACCCCCCCTGCGTGCCCCGCTGCAGCCAAAAAGGCTCGGGGCGCCCTGCCAAGGCCGCGGGCCCAGCGCGCCGCCGACGGGGGCCGCGGATGGAGGCGATCGGCCGCGTGCTGTCGGAGTGGGACGCCCTGTGCCGAGGCCTCGCTGCCGGCGGCGGCGCCCGCGCGGTGCTGCCGGCCCCGTGTGCGGACCAGGTCCTCGGCCTGGCGGCCGCGCGGGCCCAGGCCTCCCCCGCGCCGCGGGAGGCGCGGCTCGACGCGCTGGCGCTGGCGCGCGGGGCCCACGGCGGCCGCGAGCCGCCACCCCTGCTGCGCATGCTCCGGGCGGACGGCCGCCAGCCGGTGCACTTCCTGCGCTTCTGGCAGGCCATGGAGGAGCTCGCCCGGCGCCTCGGGTCGGGGGCGGGGCGCGCGCCGCCCCAGGAGCCCCTGGCGGAGGAGGCCTCGGGGCTGCGGGACGCGGTGCTGAGGAGGGCGGAGAGCCCGGGGGGCCTGACCAAGGGGTGGCTGGGGGCGGAGGTGGCCGCTGAGCGGCAGGGCTCCGCGGACGAGGCCGCCTGGGCGGTCCTGGCGAGGGCGGCGGAGGAGGTCCACGGCGGGCGGAAGGCGCCGGTGCCGCTCGAGGTGGCGTCCGCGCTCGTCATGACGTGGCTGCGGGAGGTGGTGGAGGACTACTGCGGCGGCGACCGCGCCGCCAAGATCCGCGCCGTGCGCGACGTTGCCGGCTGCGGCATACGAGACGCTTGCCTGCACCTGGGCTGCAGGGGCTGGGACTTGGAGGGAGCCCTGGTCAGCGTGCTCGGCCCCTGCCACTGCGCAGGCGCCCTCGGGCGCGGCTGGAGCTCCCAGGGCGCGAAGCTGCGCCGCAGCGAGGTGGAGTGCCCGATCTGCGCCGAGGAGTACGGGCCCCGGGCGAAGGCCGCGGTGACCCCGTGCTGCTTCCAGGTGCTGTGCGCGGGCTGCCACGGCCGGCTGACGCGCCTGGGCGACTTCCAGTGCCCCTTCTGCCGCACGCACGCCTGCCACCCAGATCGGGCGCTGCCAGAGGTGACCCCCGGGCCTCCAGGCGTCCCCAGCCAGCCGTCCCCAGGCCAGGGCGCCAGGGCGCCCCCGTCGCGAGGCTCGGTGGCCCCAGAGCTGCGCGCAAGGGCCGGGGGCACCTCGAGTCGAGCCAGGGCTCCACCGCCAGAAAACGTAGCACCCCGCAGTTGCGGACAATGAGTGAGGGGGGCGGGCGCGGGGTGGGTCGTGGGGTGGGTGGGGAGTGGGTCGCGGGCGGGTCGCGGGCGAGGACGAGGACAACAACAAGGCAACAACAATCCGCACCGCGGACCCCCACTTCAGCCACGCGCCCAGGGACAGCGAATGACCGCTCGGCCCCCTCACTCTGATGTCTGTTCCCATATCCACTGCTACGGTGTCGTGCCCTGGGATCTCGAGCAGTAGCTGAATGTAGCTGACCCGGGTGGATACCTTCCCGTCCCGTGCGGGCGGCCAAATATCAGAGTGAGGGGGCCAAACGGTCATTGACTGTCCCTGGGTGCGTGGCTGAAGTGGGATTCCTTGGCCCGGATTCTTGTTGTATGCTGTTGTTGCCGACCTCGCCCGCGACCCATCCGCGACCCACTCCGCGACCCACACGCGACCCACCTGCGACCCACCCCGCGCCCGCCACCTCACTCGTATCCGCAGCTACGTGGTGCTACACGTCAGTGCCCACGGGTGCCCCAGGGGACCCAGGACAGGACGCTCCAGAAGGTGTGGACCTGGGTCCCGACATCCATCGCTCCGATTTTTCCATACTTGGGCCCCCTAATGTCTGGACCCCTCCCTCCTCCTCTTCCTCCTCCTCCTCCTCCTCCTCCTCCTCCGCCTCCTCGTCCTCCTCCTCGTCCTCCTCCTCCTCCTCCTCCTCCTCCTCCTCCTCCTCCTCCTCCTACTCAATCTACTCACTCTAGACCCCAGGCCGTTGTGCTCGACTGCCCAGGGGGCCCGAAGCCGGCCAACAGAGAGCCCCCAGGAAGGCGCAGACCTGGCCGCTGCGGCCTTGCTCGCTGCGCAGGATGTCCCTGGGGGTGCGGCAGGCGCGTGTCAGGGCCCAGAGCCGACGGTTCCTGGTGGTGTCAGGAACCAGCGCCGAGGTCGTCACGACACGAATGGTAAGGCCTTGGCTTGCGCACAGGAAGCCCCCCCCCAAAAAAGGAGGAGGAGGAGGAGGAGGAGGAGGAGGAGGAGGAGGAGGAGGAGTACGACGCGGACGATGCTAGGAGCGACGACGAGGAGGAGGAGAGGAGGAGGGAAAGAGGAGGATGAGAAGGGGACCGGAGCGAGGAGAGGAGGAGGAGGAGGAGGAAGGAGGGACGAGGATGAGGAGGAGGAGGAGAGGAGGAGGAGGAGGAGGAGGAGTGCCGGCTGGCCTCAACAGGCCCCCCCGAGGTAGGCCGGGGCGGCCTCACCAAGTTCTGCCTTGGGCCGCGGAGCGCCGCAGGGGCGCGCCGCTGGGCCCGGGTGCTGAGACAGTCCTGGGCTGCTCGGGGGGCCTGTTTGGGGGCAGCTGGGATTACCTCTGGGGCAACGATAGGGGGGGAATACTCCTCCCCCTCCTCCTCCTCCTCCTCCTCCTCCATCACCCTCCTCGTCCTCCTCGTTCTCCTCCTCGTCCTCCTCCTCCTCTCCTCCTCTCCTCTCCTCCCCTCCTCTCCTTCCCCCCTCGTCCGCCTCCTCCTCCTCCTCCGCCTCCTCCTCCCCCCCCGCCTCCTCCTCGTCCTCTCCTCCTCCTTCTTTCTTCTTCCTCCTCCTCCTCTCCTCCTCCTCTCCTCATCCGACTTTTCTCTCCTCCTCCTCCTCCTCCTTCCTCCTCGTCCTCCTCCTCCTCCATCACCCTCCTCGTCCTCCTCGTTCTCCTCCTCGTCCTCCTCCTCCTCCTCCTCCTCCTCCTTCTCCTGCTCCTCGGGGTCGACCCCCAATCGCCCAATGATCGCCGATAGGGGCCCGACAGCCCCACCCCGCCCAGGAAGGTGCGGACTTATTATCGGGGGCCTGTCGCCGATCCATCGGCGATGCATCGCCGATTCCAGGTCGAAGAATCCCTCCTGTGCCTATCCCCCCTATCGCGCAGCCCGAAGCCTTACTGGGCACGAATCTGCCGTACCCAGACATGCGACGTCTTGCTGTTGTAAGCGCGCGGTCCCCAGACGTCCCAACCCTTTCCCCAGGGCCGGTGTTTCATCCGGAGTCGTTTTTTGATGGTCATGGGGCCCAGCGAGGGCCCCGAGAGGCCGAAAACTGCGAACAAAACATTCCGTCGTGATTTTTGTCACGACGCGAGCGCGTTTGCCATACAGTCCACCCGCCTAGTAAGGACGCGCGCCTTCATCTAGGGTGCCCTTGTGTCCTTGCCTCTGCGGCCCGTCCCTTGCCGGTTTCACTGGTCGCCCGTCGCCCAAACAAAATCCCAGCTTCAGCCTCCAAGGGTCTTGCGTCCTTACCACCAATCCTTAGCCGCACGCCGAAGGTCACTCTTGCCGCAAGCCTAGGGTCACTCTTGCGTGTGGTCGTGGGGCCCGCCGAGGGCCCTCAGATGCCGAAAACTGCCAGCAAAACATCCCGCCGTGGTTCTTGTCACGACGCGAGCACGTCTGCCGTACATCAAGGGAGGAACAAAAAATACCCAGACCCGACAATTGGCGTTTACCAAACTGTCCTGGGCGTTTACTACACAGCCCTGCCCTGTTTGATTCCTTCCCTGGGTGCGTTTACTAAACGGCTTCGCTTGTCGGGGTGATCATTCTGGGGTGGATTTCTGCCCTCTAGAAACCCCCTTGCTTGCCTCCAGGGTGCCCTGGGTTTCTTGGGTTTCGATGGTTTCGGTCTGGAAAGCGCGATATGCCCACACAGAAATCAATGGACTTCCTGGGGTCTCAGGGTTGAGTTTCTTGCGGAAGGTTTCTTGTGGACTGGCCTCCACTGTACGGTAGTTTCGTGTCGTGTCGACCAGCGGCGACCCCGCCAGCGGCGTTCAACGTTGAACGCCGCGGGCGACCCAGAAGCGTTCGATGGGGAACGATTTGGACGTTTCGGCAACGGCCGATCGTTTCAAGGTTCAACGATCCCCGCGGTGTCAGTAACCAGTGCCGAAGTCGGCACGACGCGAACCTGCCGTACCCAGACCCCCGACGTCATGATTGTTTTCATGACGTCGACCCCCAGAGGTCTGAACCCATTCCCCAGGACCGGCTTCTAATCCTGAGTCGTTTTTTGACGGTCCTGGGGCCCAGCGAGGGCTCCTCGAGGCCGAAAAATACGAAAAACCTACGTCTTGATTTTTTCAATGCGTTGGATCTCCGGGAACCTGACGTGCACCTCCTGGCGGTGCCGCGGGCCCACCTCCCGGCGGCAGATCTCTGACGCTGTGAAGGAGCGCGGCAGGCAGATCCCCCATCCAAGGCAGTTCCTGAGCCCTTCCCGGTTTGTTGACTGGCGGCCCGGCCGGTTCCTGGGGTCCGTCCCGGCTGGTTCGTTTCGTGCCGAACAGCTGACGACACGAGCTTGACGTACAGCTCCTGGCGGTGCCGTGGGCCCACCTCCCGGCGGCGCCCGCCGCAGAGGGCGCCGCCAGCCGCCGCGGCCCCCTCGGCCGCGGACCGCTGGGCGGCCTGCTGGCCGCCGCCGGCTCGGCGGCCCACGTGGCGGGCCAGGCCCGGGCAGGGCTCGAAGCGGTCCAGGCTTCCCAGAGAAGGTCTCCTCCTCCTCCTCCTCCTTCTCCTTCTCCTCTTCCTCATCCTTCAAGAGCATGAGGCCCTCCGCTGGCCAAGATGCACAGAATGTCCAAGGGTACCCCTGCCCAGGATGCACAAGAACATCAGGAACAAGCACGAAGAGCATCATGGCACCCTCTCCGACACGACGGCAGCATCAGTAGGGACCGGGCGATGACATCAAAACATAAAAAAGTGGAGGTCCGCTCGGATTCGATTCCTCGGATCGGCGCGGGACGCCCCCTCCTTGGCGCGCGGAGCACGCCCAGGGCGGCGCCGGAGGCGCCGCCAGGGGGGGGGCTCCAGCGCCGTTCCGAGGAATCCGCGCGGACTTCCGAGTTTTTACGTGTGCGTCATTGCCTGGTCCCCTACGAAAGTGACCGCCGGACCGAGGTATAAGGTCGAGACCGTTTCGGTGAGGGCGCCCTGACGTCTTTCGTGTTTGTTGCATGTTCTTGTGCATCCTGGGAAGGGGTACCCTTGGACGTTCTGTGTATCTTGGCCAGCGGAGGGTCTCATGTTCTTGAAGGATATCATGATGTCGTAGGTCCGACTGTACCAGCCTGGGACATATCCCTGTCCCTATGAATGGCGTCGCCTAGTTTGGGTGCAGCCTCAAGGATCCCCTCAATTCCTGAGGGCGCATCCCTAAGATTGTCATCGCATTGGGGCGTGTCCATCTTAGGGCTGGGGATCAGTTCGTTGCTGGTTAAGTTAAAATGAGGTCCGATTAGGTCGATAGAGGTCGAAGGATCGGACCGGCGATGCGGCTCGATGTGGAGCCCGATGTTCTCCTCGCCGACGTCGCCGACGACTCAGCTTTCTCACGTGACCCTCACAGATCGGTCCAGCTTGAATGATGCCGCAGAAATACGGCATGATCGAAATGGGCAGGTACGGAAAGAACGGGGACGAATCCGCGCGCCAGGAGGGGTGGCCCAGCGCCGATTCAAGAAATCCGCGCGGACCTCCGACAACAAATGTTCGTGCCGTTCTCCGCCCCCCAGTGGCAGCAGTTCCTGTCCACATCGCTGCCGTTGCCGCCGTGGGCTTTGCTTTCGCTTCGAGAAAAAAGGCCGCTGGCCCAACAGTTGCCGCTTCCGATGTTCGACCACAATTGCGAGAAGGCATCCTTTCAACTTTCTTATTCATGTCGGTCGGGCGTACGACGAAGTAACCCCCAAACGGAATCTTAGCGATTCCCAAGATGAGGTGGAGGAAAGGGAGGAAGAGGCGGAGGAGGTGGCGGAGGAGGAGGAGGAGGAGGAGAAGGAGGAGGAGGAGGAGGAGGAGGAGGAGGAGAGGAGGGAGGAGGAGGAGGAGGAGGAGGAGGAGGAGGATGTGGAGGGGAGGAGGAGGGGAGAGGAGGAGGAGGAGGAGGGAGGAGGAGGAGGAGGAGGGAGGAGGGAGGAGGGGAGGAGGAGGGAGGGAGGAGAGAAGGAGAGGTTGGAGGAGGGAGGAGGAGGAGGAGCGGAGGAGAGGGAGAGGCGGAGGAAGAGAGGAGGAAGGAGGAGGAGGGGAGGAGGAGGATGAGGAGAGGGAGGAGGCGGAGGAAGAGAGGTGGAAGGAGGAGGAGGGGAGGAGGGGAGAGGAGGAGAAGGAAGAGGAGGAGGAAGGCGGAGGAGGAGGAGGAGCAGGAGGAGGAGGAGGATGTAGAGGATGGAGGAGGAGGTGAGGAGGAGGAGGAGGAGAGGAGGAGGAGGAGGAGGATGAGGAGAGAGAGGAGAGAGAAGGAATAGGAGGAGGAGGAGGAGGAGGAGGAGGAGGAGGAGGGAGGAGGAGGAGGAGGAGGAGGAGGAGGAGAGGGAGGAGGGGAGGAGGAGGAGGAGGGAGGAGGAGGGAGGAGGAAGGGGGATTGGGAGGAGGAGGAGGAGGAGGAGGAGGAGGAGGAGTAAGAGGAGGAGGATGGAGGGTGAGGTGAAGGAAGAGGAGGAGGAGGAAGAGGAGGCGGAGGAGGAGGAGGAGGAGCACCAGTGTGCCATAGGCTGTGGGCGTCGCGGGCGTGCTGCTGGAGGGGCTGTCCTCGGCCCTGCGCGACGCCGCCGCGGAGGGCTCCGAGCGGGAGCGCGGGCCGCTGCGCCGGGAGCCGGGCGGCTGACGAGGGTCCGGCGGGGGCGCCTTCGGGCCAGCACGGTCACAGGGCTCGGTGTTCCTTAGTTGTTCCGTAGTTGTTTTACAGGCTACCGTAGGTTTTTCCTTTCGATGGGGTGTCGAAACTTAACTTGTTGGAAAAAGGGGCCTCGTTCCTTATTTGGAGTTCATTGGGTCAACGCCCCGACGGTAGTTGCCTCCGACCCCCCCTCGCTCGCCGCTGAGCCAGGGCGTCCGATGTGCCGATGGCAGCTGGCGCCACCGCTGCCCTGGCCGCGACCCCCCACGCGCCAGGGCTCGTGTCGATTCCTCCGTTTCGGTTCGATTCGATTTCGATTGTTTGGGACTCCGATTCGATTCTATTTGGGACTTCGATTTGGGCTCCGACTTCTTACTGGACGCAGACTAGACTGCCGATTTCCGCCGATTCGACGTTTCCCGGCTCGGCTGCCGATCTCCGCCGATCCGGCTCAGTTCGGTCGGCGATCCGACTCATCGATTCGATTCTGGGCTCCCCTGGCCCTCGGGCCAGCATAGTCAAGGCGCCGACGAAAGACCGACCACTTCGAGCTCAGCAGGGGCTCGAGGTTTCGTTTTCAGGCCGTTCTTTAGAGCCAGGTCGGGTAGCCTGATTGTGGCCTAGGCCCGCCGCGGCCAGAAAAAGCCCCAACGGTCCTTCTGGAATCGCTCCGCTCACTCCGTTGGCCCGTATTGTGCCATCGCAAGCGTTTGCTTGCGGGTTCGTGGCCTCTTTGGGACTCTCGGGGGCCGTTCGTGGGCCTCTTGGAACCTCTTCTTGGGCTTCTTGAGAGGGGGCCTCGTGGGGCCTCCAGGGGGCCTCCGTGGGCTCTCTTAGGGGCCTCTTGGGGCTTCCTGGGGGCCTCTTGGGGCAGAAGACTCGAATCGGTGGTTCGTGTTATCCATCCTGGGCCCCTTTTGGGGCCGTCTTGGGCTCCCTTGGGCGATCTTGGACGCCTCTGGGGCCATGTCTGATTTTCTGACGTGGTGGCCTCTTCGGAGGCCTCTTAGAAGCCGTCTTGGCGGCCTCTTGGGCCGTCTGGAGGCCATCCTGGGCGGCTTGGGGCGATTTGTGGGCGTCTCCGACCCTTCTTGGGGCCGCATTGGGGCGATCTTGGGCCCATGCGGCCGCCTCTTGGGCCGTCTTGGAGCCGTCTTGGGCTATCGTGGGGCCATCTTGGGAGCCTCTTGGGCTGTGTTGTGGCGGTCTTGCAGGCCTCTGGGGCCCTCTTGGAGCGTCGAAAAGGCGAACAGGAGAGAAGGCTGACAACCTCGAAACCGACGGGAATTCTATGATTTTTGCCTCTTGGGACGCCTCTTGGAAGCCTCGATGGGCGTGTTGGGGGCATCGAGGGCCATCGTGAGGCCATCTTGGGCCGCCGTGGGACGCTGTTGGCTTCTGGCCGTAGGGCCTGCCACCTATTGGTCGACTCATTGGGCGGCTCCTGGACGGTTCCAGAGGCCCCCAGGCCCGCGCCGAAGAGACCCGACATCTCTGGCCAGGACTTGCCTGGAGTTGCTCGGGATACTGTTCGCTCCCGAACCCCCAGGGGCCGCCACGCGCGCGCGAACTAGAATATTGTTAAATTGCTACTAGATTTGAGTCGGGCCTCTCCCTCTACAGGAAGAATATTCACGAATAATCAAAAACTAGTCGGGGGACATTAAAAAAACAATGTTTGAACATTTGGGGGGTATTTTTATATTTTTTTGTATTATTTGTTTTTCGCCCCAAATCCCCCCTGTAGGTGGACGTTCCCGACTTAATACTAGATCTTAGCACGCCCCTGGCAAGTTGGGCCAGCGAGTTTGGCGTTCCTTTTCTGGTAGCGCGTCGACTGCACCGATCGAACGGGGTACGGGAAGGATGGGGGCAAAAGCCGACCCCATACCCCTTCGAGTCGCGACGAGAAGTCGCGGCGGGGCGTGCTTTTGTAGTTTTCAGCCTCTGGGGGCCCTCGCTGAGCCCCGGGACCGTCAGCGAGAACGACTCAGCGATGAAGAACCGGTCCCGGGGAAGGGGGCGAGACCTCTGGGGGTCTACGCCATGAGAAGATCATGAAGTCGGGGTCTGGGGCAGCAGTTCCGGTGTCCATTTGAGACAAAGGTCGCCTGCCAAACAGCGGCCCGCGTCGGATTTGAACACCATTAGCAGTTGGACGGTGTGCCCATGTTTCTGTACCCATTTTTGGCGTGCCAATCTGGGCACCAGGCTGGTGGCGCCCGCACCAGGCAGCGGGCCCAGATCTCCGACGACGTGATCTTTCCAGGCTCCTCGTTTTTCCCTGATGTTCGGCCTCCAGGTGCCATCATCGAGCCCCGGGGCCATCAGACACGCGTCCGGGACGACAAGCGCGCCCCGGAGAAGAGGTCGGGATGATTGAAAAACGCACCGTCGGATGTCTCGAGTAGGAGATCAAATGCAGAATAGATTTACCCCAACATCAGTTTTTTCGTCGAATCGCCGAAGGAATAGGAATACGTAGCAGTCCACGAACGCTTTACTTATTCCCCTCCAGATGCGACGAACAAAAACAACTTCGGGGCACATCAATTCTGCAATCGCTCCCCTGCTCGAATATCAGGGCTGGGCGCAGAGAGGAACGGAGCCTGCGTCCTGGGGGGAGAGGGAGGAGGGAGGGCGGAGCACACGGCAGGTCCGTGTCGCGTCGACGTGGCTGTGAGCCCAGCGCGGGCGTTGCAAGGCTGCAGGCCGCCAGCGGCCTGGAAGCGGCCGGCATCGAGATGTCCGTGCCGTCGGAGAGCCGCGGTCGTCCCTGGGCTGAGCGATCCGCGTGGTGTCGGAAACCAGCGCGCATGTTGCAGGATGGAGGATGCAGGATGGAGGATGATGGAGGAGGAGGAGGAGGAGGAGGAGGAGGAGGAGGAGGAGGAGGAGGAGGGGTGGGAAGGATTGAGCAGGATTGAGGAGGAGGAGGAAGGAGAGGAGGAGGAGGAGGAGAGGAGGAGGATGCAGGATGCAGGAAGCGGATGCAGGATGCAGGATGCAGGATGCAGGATGGCAGCATGCAGCATGCAGGATGCAGGGAGGATGGAGGATGGAGGAGGAGGAGGAGGAGAGAGGGAGGGAGGAGGAGGAGCTGGAGGAGGAGCTGAGCAGGAGGAGCAGGAGGAGGAGGAGGAGGGGAGGAGGAGGAGGAGCAGGAGCAGGAGGAGGAGGAGAAGAAGGAGGAGGAGGAGGGGGAGAGGAAGGAGAGGAGGAGGGGAGGAGAGGGGAGGAGGAGGGGGAGGATGGGGATGATGGAGGAGGAGGATGGAAGAGGAGGAGGAGGATGAGGAGGAGTAGGATAATGATGAGACTTGTCCTCAGAACGTGCAGGAGATGAATACACAGAGTCCGATACGTTTCGCTCAAGCCTTTTTCGCCTCAGGGAGCACCTGACACGTATGCGCCCTCCCGCTCTGCGGCTGCCATCGTGGACGCTGGTCTGCATCTGGTGTGCTCTGGACGCGTGGCAGCCAGGCTTGCTGCGCGCGGGCGGCGGAGGCGGCCCGCCCGACGACTGGGACAGTCGGGCGGCCCTTGCTGCCCAGCGGGCTGCCGAGCGCGGGGCCCAGCTCGCCGCGGCGCACGCGGCTAACCTCAGCCGGTGCCACGCCGCGCTGGACGAGGTGCAGGTCGTGCTGAGCAACCTGTCCGCGGAGCTGGCTGAGCTCCGCACCCTGCAGGCGGCGCCGTCCGAGCTGCACGAGGAGCCCGACACGCTCCTGTGGCACGCGCTCGGGGTGGTGCTGACCGCGGCGTTGACGCAGTGTGGCACGTGCCTCGCCGCCTGGCGTCGCCGCGATGGCCCTCCTGCCCGCGAATCTGAGCCTCTTCCTGAGCGACGGGACCGCCGCCGAGGCGGCGGAGTTCTTCAGTGAGCTGGTACCAGGGCGGGTTGTCAGCTTCTACTATGAGGACGACCCGAGCATATGGCACGAACGGTTGCTGCTGTGGCCGTATCCTGTCGCCTTCCCCAACACCTGCTGGAGCTGCCTCACGCCCGACGGCGACGTGTACCCCGAGGAGATGGCGGCAGGGCCCGATGGCGACGGGCCGAGCCGCGTCTCCCTCACGATCGGGGCGACTCCTGCTGCTGTTCGCCCCCCGGGGCGAGTCTACAGATTTCGTGAATATCCTGCCGAGGACGACATGATCGACCTCTTTCGGGACGCTCGCCTGGCCGGCCGCAGCGCCGGCTTGCGCGAGCCCGAGCCGACGGCCTTCATGCGCGACGGCGGCCGGCCCTCCAGGAGCATGACGGTCAGCTTCAACGACGTGCCGGGCTTCCTGCGCCGCACGCGGGGCAAGGGCCCGTCCGCTGCTGTGCCGCGCGTCCCACCTCCTGGCTTGCCTGTGGCCCCGCCCCCGCTGGACGCTGCGGGCGCTGAGCCAGGGGCGCTCGCCGACGGCGAGGTCGGGGGCACTCCGACCCCGAGGGACGGTCCTGGCGCGATCGTGCTCACTGACGAGCGGGCCGCGCCGCCTGGGTCTGCATGGTTCGTGATGAAGACGATTCCCAACGAGTGCCAGCAGCTCGACGAGGTCGTCCCGAAGGCGGGCGACGTGGTCTGGGGGGAGAGTGGGCTCTACAGCACAACGGGCGGCTTCGTCGTCCCGATCGAGCTCCACCCTGTCCCGCTGTCTGCCGAGGTGTCGGACAAGCTAGCCGACGACGACGCCCGCCTCCTCGGCCCTCTCCAGCGCACGCGGGAGGGCCGTAGGCACCGCGACTTTCGTGATGCAGTGTCGGCCATGAGACAGGAGCAGCATGACGACTTCCCGCTCGTCGGCGAGCGCAGCTTCAAGTGGCTGTGCGACTACATCGTCGACCACGGAGGCACACCTGATGGCCGCCACACCAAGTGGATGATGGAGAGCGGCTGCGCCAAGGACTCGGCGGCCGCGCACATCCACGATCTGCTCGGCTTCGCCATCGAGATGGCCGTCACCTACGACCAGATCGACGGCTCCAACCTTGCCAGCATGGAGGTGGTCTCACGGGCCTACCAGCTGATCGAGGAAACCATGGGGAGCATGAAGATCGAGGGCGTCGAGCACTACATCGGCCGCCAGAAGCAGAGCGCCCGCCGTGGCGTCGCGATGGCGCCGGGGGTCGCTAAGTACGCCACCGACCAGCTCGCCAAGGAGACGGAGATCCAGAAGCAGAGGCGCAAGGCGCGCGAGGAGAAGTCTGCCCAGTCGGGCAAGAAGGACAATGGGTGACCTGGGGTCAGCGGTCGGGAGGTGGCTCGAC